TTTCCCTAACCGTGAATGTAAGATACAAATATAAAACTTATTTAAGGTGCAATGTCCAAATGTATTAATTAAAAATAACCACTTTGTGAGCAAAAAAAATTAAAATTAACCGCTCATATAATCCAGATCCACCTCTACTTGCAGGGTCACACCATCGGCACAAATGCAATTCACACGGAAATTAGTTAGTCTCGAGATGAAATTGTAGTCATTTTTTAAGTTATAGTGACATGTTTGTATAAAAATAAAAGGGTTAATTTTAAATTTAACCTCCGAAAAAAATAAAAATTATCTATTAAGTAACTATTTTGATACTTTTATCATTGAGGCATCAATTTCTTGATAGTTTTAATAACGTGTGACTTTTTAATAGATCGAAGTGCGATTTGTAACATTTTGAAATTCGTGAGTTAAAATGAAACAAGTTGCATGTATAGTTGAAGGATCAAAATCAAAATCAACCAAAGAAAATATTAAGGAAAAAAAAGAGAGGAGAGATGTAGATTGGGGTACTTTCCTTCGTTCGTGACTACCAAGTAAACGAGAGGCTTAATTCAAAAAGGTACTTTACCCAGCCAATTGTTGGGCCTAAATGCGCAGCCCAACTTAGTCAAAAAAGTAACGGACAATTTTTAAAAGGGAGAAAAGGAAAATAGGTAAGGAATTTAGATGAATTAAAATTAATAGATCAATAATTTACATAAATTAATAAATAGGTTAAATTATTATTTTTATTCATAATTTGTCTGGTTATGAATCATAACTTGATAAGTTATTGACGGTTTTTATCCATAACTTGTCTGGCTATAAACCATAATTTGACAAGTTTGTCCATAACTTATCTGGTTATGAACCATAACTTGATAAGTTATGGTCTATTAATTTCTATAACTACAAATTGACCTATATACTTTCTTAAGCTTTTCATATTGGCCTATTTTTTACTATTTCCATTTTTAAAAATACCTTTAAAAGTCTTTTTTTTATTTTTTATTTTTATCTCTTAACATTAACTCATATATTTTAATCTTTTACACTTAAACTAATCAAGAGGTAAAATTTTTAAAAATATATATTTTTAATAAGTCAAATACTTAAAAAAGACAGAACCAACAATTTTCTCAAAGTAATTCGTACGGCCAAAAACAACTATGGGTATTTCTCAAGGAGACAATTCCACAGCCACAAACAACTATGGGTATTTCTCATGGAGACAATTCCACCGGCACCTTGACATTCAAGTGTTAGGAAGAAAAGAGTATACAAACATGCTCAGGTAATCTAAAGTTCATACGAAAAAATCTAAAAAAATCTAAAGAAGTTGCATTAAAGTAAAAGAGAAGGTGAGTATTTTATTTTCCTGTTCATGGGTTGGGTTGGTGCAGGTTAGGATTTTTTCTTTCATCGCCTCAAAGGGTACAGGTTACAAATATTTGGCATCAACGATGTTAAAACAATTTTACAACCCAATAATGTTTGGGTTAGGTTGGGGCAGTGCGGAGTGGGTTGGGTGATCGGTTTCAACATTCAAAGAATCAAAAACTCAAAGTTTAATCTAACATTCAAAGTTCATCATCAAATAAAAATAATAACTCCAACATTTAAACAGATATAAATTTAAAGTTCAATCCAACATCAAACATGAAGTAAAGTAATCTATCCAACATCAAACATAAATTATTCTACACTCATAAATTAGTCTTAACATAAAGCAAATGTAGAGACTTAATGAGACAAGTTAGAACGCGGGTTGGGTTAGGGTGTGCAGGCCATTATAGGGCCAACCCACACTCCGCCCCAAAACTTCAGGCTAGACATTGAATGGGCTGAGAAAAAAATTTAATACTAAAAATTGCATTTTTCGGATTGGGTTGGGGTGGGGTGGGTTGGGCCTGCGAGTTTTGTAAGTTTACGAGCAACCTATTCCCATCTAATAATGTATTTACTAACAAAATTAATAATAGACATTTAGTGAGCCCATACAATATAAAAAGAATGAGAAAATAAAATGTCAATCCTTAAATCCTCTTTGGTATTAATTTCCATTAAAAGGATAAATGCTAGATTTACTTGTTTGATCTTTAATAATTACTTTATAGTAATGATTATTTAGTTGTGTAAAAGGACCTTTTAACAATTACATTAATAATAGTAAATATGAAAAAAAGAATGTGATTGTTTTCCATTAACAAGTTAAATAAACACTTAAAATGGAATCAATGATACTAAAACAATATTCAGATTGGCTTGAAAAGAGTTATGTTGGCTTATTTTAATGTAAAAACTGTTTTTGAACCTGTTTAAATGGACAATCTTAAAATACTTTTGACTTGTATAAGTACTTTTAAAACAAGTCACATTCTTGATACTTATGAAAAGCTTTCTTTATTTACCTTTTTAACCTTTTATTTATGAACAATAAATTAAAAATTCCATCAATATTCTTGTATTACATTTTTTTTTAACAAGTATTTTTGACTTATTTATTCAAATAAATTTAAAAACTGTTCAAAAATATAAAAGTACTTTTTTATGTACCATCTAAACTTTTCTTTTTCTATTACTTAAAATGCACCTTTGTTTTTCTTTCTAATTCTATTATTTTTTTGCTCTTTTACTTTCTTTCCTTTACGGTTGAATAAACACACCTAAAAGTAGTGAATCTTTTTTTTTTGTTTTTTAAATTTTTATCAAAAACAGTCTATTTTCATACAATTATATACCTTGTATAAAACAGTTTTTGTATAAAAATGAGAATTTTCAGTATGCTATATATAAAAAAAATAAATCCTATATTAAAAATTTAGAGTTATTAGTTTCACCGTTAAATTTGTATTAGATATTCTTTTAATTTAAGTTTGACCTGATTTAGAGTTCATAAACATATATTATAAGTGTGGATACAATGGTGTAGAGAACTCCAAATATGAAAAATATATTCCAATAATCAATAACTCTACCAACATCCTTGGAAAAATTTAAAACCATATGTGAGGAACATAGTGATAACTTTCATATAAAAACAATTCAATCTTCGTCACTTTAATTAACCGATACAAATTAGCTGGCAATATTCTTACGCATAAAGGCACAAGATGCTAATGGCAAGACAATATTTTACATACATCAGAGCTCTACTAGATCACAGACTCATCTCCAGCTTCTGCCAATTGAGCATTAAAAAAAAAAAAAAAAAAAGGGATTAGAATCTGATCTAACCCTTTTAAGGAAATTCAAACCTCAATTACTTGGCTTTCTTTTTTTTTGGTTACCTTGGACAGGAACAATTATAACGGGAGCTGATTTGCAATTGTGGAAGCAGTGCTCGCTCACACTTCCCTGTATTACACTGAAGAAAATCCCAACAAATTAAAAGCTAACACATGCTTAATTACGGACACGCAGTGTGCTACACGTTATCTCGAAAACAGAGTAAAACAAAACAAAAGACGCGTCTTATGTGTCCACGACACAACTAATTTATGATTGGACCATACCCGTGGACTCATATGGTGACGACACCCATCTTCTATTAAGACTTATTTAGAAGAGTTTTTTAAAGGTTATTTTTAGTTTTCTAAGTGTAAAAATTACTTTTAAAAGTATTTAGATCATCAGTTAAAAAAATTTTAGTTTTTTAAAAGAATTTTCAGTTAAAATTAAAAATTATGATTTTTAAAAAATATATATATTTTTAAAGAGACTTTAAAATTTATACTAAATTTTAATTAAGACATTATAAACTTAACTCAACATTTTTATTCATTATTAGAAAATTTAAAAATTATTTTACCTTATTAAACTCTTTATTCTAAACACTTATTAAAAATCACAGTTTTTATTTTTTTTTTCGTCTACCCGTTAAAAGCAAAAATAAAAACTCTACTAGATGAGTCTTTAGTCCATGATGTTCAGCTCTACCAGTGTCATATTATTATTAGTATTATTCTCTTGATATATAAATATATATATTAGGGAGAGGAAAGAACCTTTGAAATATGCTTCGGCCTCTGGTACCCATGACCACAGCTGCAGGCTTTACCCTTTCGGCTTCCTTGCAAATTAATTTACCAGCATCCCCTTCAACAATTCGTGCTACAGATCTAACCTATAATTTCATGAATTTCCTTTTTAAACATTTTGTACCCCAAAATTAAAAACTAAAATAAACACCCAACAAAACCAGCATAAGTCTAAATTTAAAAAAAGAACTTTATTTTTATGAAATGATTAAAACTTGTAACACTTGAATCAAAACAAATGTTCATTTCATAATTCAAGTCATAATTCAAGTTATGACTTGAATTGTGTATATAAGAGAAAAATATTATAACAAAAAAGTTAAATTTAAATTTTTATGAGAGAAAACACTGTAACAATAAAACTTAAATTGTGAAATGAATAACGAGAAATTTAATGAATGCAAGTGATGTTAAAAAATGAATTTATATAAGAGAAAATATTGTCATAGAAAAAATTGAACTTAAATTTTTTGTAAAAGAAAACACTACAGCAAAAACATAAATTATGATTCGAACTAACGAAATGAAAGAGTAATGTATAAATAAATATGCAATCTCTAAATTACAAAAGTACTAATAGTCATTACAATCGTCAGTGGCAGAACCATAATTTTTTTTTTAAAAAAACGGTGTGAACTGAACTGAAATTTTGAACTAATTTTATAAAGAGAACAATTTTTTTTTTTTATTATCTTCATTCAACTATTTGTATGAAATAAACTTATTATGGAGTTGAATTTTTTATGTTTAAAGTTTAGTTTCTAAAAACTTGGGAAATTATATGGTACTATAGTTGATTTTACAAGAGATTTTAAATGTGGACAACAATACATTTAATATTCAAAGTTAAAGGTATAATTGAAAATCTTAAACAAAAAGTTATGTAGAGATGACTTGAAAAATTTGACCGGGCAAACGAAAGAAAAAAAAGGAGAAAGAGAGAAATATGTCAAACTTGAGATGAATTAAAATTAATAGGTTAATAATTTATATAAGTTAATAAATATGTCAAATTATTATTTTCGTCCATAACTTGTCTGATTATGAACCATAACTTGACAAATTATTCACGATTTTTATTCATAACTTGTCTGACTATAAACTATAACTTGACAAATTTATCCATAATTTATCTGGTTATGAGCCATAACTTGACAAGTTATGACCTATTAATTTCTATAACTAAAAATTGATCAATATATTTTCTTAAGCTTTTCATATTAGACTATTTTTTACTATTTATGTAGAAAAAAATACCACTTTAGAATTGGGCTTAAACTTTACAGGGAGCCTTGAGATCGGGGGCGGAAGGGGGGCAGTTGATCCTGAGAGCCTAAAGCAGCTCTGCCCCTAAGAATCGCTATCAATTTCAAGCTTCGAATCCTATTTTTCACTTTGCCAGAACACGATGAATATTTGTGTCATCATACGTACCCGTTAAGTTGCATAAATCTATGTATTATAGTAGTAAGTTTAAATAAATTGTAGGATCCTCCTATTTCATTATCGAAATCCAAGTTTCAGTATTATTTATGTCAACAAAAGAAATAACACACGAATTGGAAGGAAAAAAAGAAGGGTCAAAATTAACACAAACCATGGCTATTTCAAAAGCCTCAACAGCAAGCTTCTCCATTAACCGCTGGGTTGCCTCGTAAACGACATCGTTCTTCAGACCTAAATTTGTAACAAAAACAAAAACATATATAGAATAATAATGAGCTATTTTCGTAGGGTTGTTTATTTTTAAATATCAAATTAAATCAAAATCACGTCAAAACGAAAAAATAAACAAAACTAAAGAACTCTAATATAGTCATGTCCAAAATTGATAAAAGTGAAAACAAGATTTCAAAAGAACACTACAAATGATAAAATTGAAGAGAGAAAGCGATAAAAAAAAAAAAAAACTAACTGGAAACGGCATGAACGAGGTGGATGGTGTCGGCGAGCCTGCAGAGGTGGATCAAGGCCCAATCGAAAGCGTGCTTGCTATTGGGCCCATGATCCACTGCAATGAGAATGTCTCGGCCTCGTCTTCTCTCTCCTGTTTCTCTCTCTAGCTCAGGCTCGGTAACCACGGGGATCAAAGAGGGAAGCTTCACCTCTCTCCAGTTGTACTCTTTCACGTCTTCCATCACAGTTTCCATATCCTCGACACAGCCTTAATCCCAGAATTAGATCTCGTAATATGTCTGTCTGATTAATAAATAATTGTCTTTCTTTTGTGTGGTTTTCCTTAATTTGGGGTTGGATAATTACGAGGTTGTTGTGAGATATTGAGCAGTGGCAGGATTTTTTTGGGGACGTTCTTAACTTAAAGGATCTCTAGCTATCTAGCCCGAAGAAATTGACTTTTTCTTTTCCTTTTGTTTTTAAAGTCCTGAAGAAATTGACTTGCGTGTCTAATCTTCTTTCTTTTGGGATAATTTTCAGTTTGCGTGTCTAAATTTTGTTCAAGACTAGTACTACTTTTCTTTGGCAACTTTGTGACAGGTCCCACGTTTTTTTTTTCTCGGTTTTTTATTTCTCGAATCAGAGAATAATATTTGATAAATGAATAAATAAATAAAGATGGTCTCTACAAAAGAGAATTTTTAGGTCTGCCATAGTAATAAGACATGTTAAGTAAACAAAAAGTGTTTTACTGAAATTATCCAGCCCTCCAGACGTAATCTATTTGATTATTACTGATAATCTACTAGATATCACCAAAATCAACGGTGATAAAATAAATTGAACATAAATTTAGATAGTTCTTGATAAAATAAAATTAAAAACAGTCTTTGAAGTAGATACTAAAATTTAGACAGTTGTGTCGTTAACCCAATAGATTCTAAAATTTAGACGCTTATATCGTTATCCGTCTAGTTTTTATTGCCTAACTTTTTATATCGGCCAATGCTACTAAACTATAGAGTTTTCCCAAAATTAAAGATTTTCAAAATATAAAATAGATCAATATAATCAATATTTAATATCCTTCTAAAGTTCTCGCTCTCTTACGGCCAAACAAACAAACCCGATTATTAGACATAAGAGGCGGCTCGTCTATTAGTGAACTATCTCTCTAGGAATTATAAAAGATATTCCAATAGAGAAACACAAATGAATTAAATATAGAGAAACACAAATTATAACAATTAATATAGAGAAACACAAATGAATTAAAGTGAAAATCACATTAACAAACACTTAGAATATTCAGAGCGTAGCAACGTTAAAACTACATTAAGTCTCTAGCTCTAAGAGTTTAGCTAGAACAAGACATCAAGAATCCCAAATCAAAACGCATAAACAAACTAAATCCATAATCAATCACAATTCTCAGAGAATAACACAAATTCAAAGTTAAAATAGAAGAAGAGAGAGAGCATGAAAAACTAGATGCCAATTGAGCTCCGCAATCTTCAATCTTCTTTCGGATATTCAAGCAAGCCCTTGAATCCTTATATTCTCCTCTTTAGGGTTCTGGGTTTTTTATCCAAAGAGTCACTTTAATTCTCAACACATTTTCTATTTACACCTCCTCAAAATCAATACAAAAGAGGTCTTAAAATACTACAGTACGCGTGGAGGCGCTGCAGCGAATAATTTTTCCGTTGCAGCGCCGCTTAAGATTTCTAAAAAACTCTAGTGGCGCAAGCTTACCCGTTGCGGCGGATAAATTTTCCACTACAACGGATAAAATAAAGTGGCTAGAGGCTTTGATCTTTCTTTATTAAGCTACGTTGATATCCAATTTCTAGGCTCATCAATTTATTTCACTCTCATTAGTCTAAGTTTTCAAAAATAATTTCACTCCATCTCCCAAGTACTGAGTAAAATAGTACGCAAAACCAATTATGCAATATCCCTATTAGCCTAACCGAATCAAGCATCTATTAAGCAAACTAAATTTTGACTACCCAAATTAATTGGCCTCCTAAACTCAATTAACTCTAGTTTGTGTTTCTCAAATCTCAACAAGGGAAAGTAACTCTCCCGAGCCTAAATCCACACATCTATATCTCTAATTCATGAAAACACAAATTAGAACAATTAATATAGATAAACACAAATGAATTAAAGTGAAAATCACATTAACAAACACTTAAAATATTCCAAGCGTAGCAACGTTAAAACTACATTAAGCCTCTAGCTCTAAGAGTTTAGCTAGAACAAGACATCAAGAATCCCAAATCAAAACGCATAAACAAACTAAATCCATAATCAATCACAATTCTCAAGAGAATAACACAAATTCAAAGCTAAAATAGAGGAAGAGAGAGAGAGCATGAAAAACTAGACGCCAATTGAGCTCCGTAATATTTAATCTTCCTTCGGATCTTCAAGCAAGCCCTTGAATCCTTGTATTCTCCTCTTTAGGGTTCTGGGTTTTTTTTTATCCAAATAGTCACTTTACTTCTCAATACATTTTCTATTTATAACTCCTCAAAATCAATACAAAAGAGGTTTTAAAATACTGCAGTACGCGTGGAGGCGCTGCAGCGAATAATTTTTCTGTTGCAGCGCTCCTTAAGATTTCTAAAAAACTCTAGTGGCGTAGGCTTACCCACTGTGGCGGAAAAATTTTCCGTTGCAGCGAGTGTGTAGTTTTCTTGCTCTCAGGCAGGAAATCTTCTACAGTAGATGGATTTCCCGCTGCAACAGGTGTCTGATTTTGAGAAAGATTTTCACCTTCTATATAGCCGAATTAGCCTTTGGTTCTTCATGAAAGTTATAGTTCTATCTCGCATCTTTTTAACGCCACTAAGATCACTTCATTTAGACTTTAGATTAAAAAGTTATCCTCAAACACTGAAGTATGTTTTCAAATTAATCTAATAAAAACACATTAAACTAACAAAAATGTTTGGAAACTTAAAAAACTCAAGCTCAAAAGTACTTTGTGAGTAAAATACTCACTCATCAGATATAGCTTTGCGTCGTTTATCTGCAAACCAATTGAGAGAAATTAAGTTAAAAAAGTAATAATCACATGTTTGCACATGGATTTTAGCGCACATGTTAAGTTTTGTAAAGGCTATATAACCTTTATGGTTGAACTAGTTGTTGTCTGTACTTTCATGGCAGTTTCCAATACTACTACTGCTGCTAAAGATCCTACAGATATGTCCACTGCCATTCTTATTCGGGTCGATCAAACGGGGAAAGGAGACTTTGGAAAGATACAGGACGCCATTGATTCTGTTCCCTCCAATAATTCAGAACTGGTTTTCATATCGATTAAGCCTGGAACTTACAGGTGACTTTTTATCATACTCAACAACATGTTACTGCATAGCTAATTATGGTTAAATAAATTTACTATGCTATTGATTTTTATTGAAGCTCTTGAAATTAATGTTGATATTATCTTATTTAGCGCGTGAATTATCGTTTTTTCTTATGCAAAATATATATTTGCAGAGAAAAGATTGTAGTGCCTGCTGATAAACCCTTCATAACTTTGAGTGGCACAAAATCATCAGACACTATAATCACATGGAATGACAGCGGGGAGATATTCGCTTCTCCCACACTCTCTGTTTTGGCTTCTGATTTTGTTGGACGATATATCACAATTCAGGTTTATATCTCTTTTGGCATAATTTACTTTTGAATTAACTTTCTTTTAGGGGCCGTGAATTAGGCCTTTTTTTTATTTTGATTTTGGTGTTTTTTGACTTGAAGATCAGAAGCCGCACTTGGTCACCTGACAACTTCTTCAATTGGTTTTTGTATAAGAGGGAAAATTTACACTGACAGTCCCAAACTTTGACCAATACTACCGTGACACCCCTTTGATCGAACTTAATTACAGTGACACTCTTTTGACTATGAAAATTTCTAATAATCATGGCGCTTGTCATTGCATATAACTAAAAAGTCAGAGGGTGCCGGTGTAATTTTTTCTATAATTTGTTGATTAAGTTATGATTGTCGAAAAGTGAGTTCTAAGCATTAGTTGGTTCGAACTGGTATATGCATCCTTGCTAAGATGTTGACCTCAAAACATGTTCTGATTCTGTTTACAGAATACTTACGGAACGAGTGGTAAAGCTGTTGCGCTAAGGGTGTCGGGCGACAGAGCTGCGTTCTACAGTTGTAAGATCCTCTCTTATCAGGATACCCTCTTAGATGATGTAGGCAAGCATTACTTCAACAACTGTATTGAGGGAGCTATTGACTTCATTTTTGGGAATGCTGCTTCTCTCTATGAAGTGAGTGAAATTTCAAAGCACAACAGAATCAGTTTTTAATCTATGTGTATAACCATATACCTTGTTCGTGTAGAAATGCCATTTGCACTCACTGTCTGAGAGAGATGGAGCTATTACAGCACAACATAGAGTATCTTCAGCAGAGAACACTGGTTTCACATTTTTAGGCTGCAATATCACCGGCGTTGGAGCCTCTTTTCTTGGAAGGCCCTGGGGTGCTTCCTCTAGAGTTGTGTTTACATATTGTCACATGTCCAGTGCCATTATTCCACAAGGATGGAATGACTGGGGAGACGAAACCAAACAACGGTACATTGGTGATCTAGTTTAATATCTAGTTCTTTCAATTGGAAAATTATTCGTCGAAATTACCTTTTGTCTATTGATTTGGCAATATTAGCACAGTGTTCTTAAGCTGATGTCTGATTTCTGTTTGCAGTTCTGTGTACTATGGTGAGTACAAGTGTTATGGTCCTGGTGCAAATCGGTCGAAGAGGGTTGGCTGGTCGCGCAGCCTAACAAGCGACGAGGCTGCTCAATTCTTGACAAAGGACATGATTGGAGGGAAAAATTGGCTCAGGGATCCCCCAATCCACTTCAAGAGAGCCTCTGGCGCCCTTGTATCTTTGAATAGTGATGAAAATGAATAGAAGAAAAGGCATTATTTGTTTAAGAAATATATAATTCAAAGAGGCCAAACTCTCACTGGTATGCATGTGTTGTACGACCAACGTATTTGTGTCGTTTACAAATTGATGGCAATTGAATTGGAAGGAGATTGTAGAAATTTTACTTCTGTGATATCAAAAGAAAAATTGTTAGTTACAAAACTTCAAGATGAAAGTGAACTGCTGCACTAATTTGTCCCTAGCTCAATTAATAAATCACTATGGATGTCTTTGAGTAGAGAGGGAAGAGTCTGCCCATCAATAAAACATTCATTTCTGGTAGATTTTTGTTTCTAACCAGCATAATCATGCGGTACTCCAGACTACATAATATTAAATATTAATAGCGCCAAAATGCGAGAAAACAAAGAGAATAATAATATCGACATAACTTATAAGACCTGATAGACAGTTATAATCTTTCAGTTCACATAAAAACGCTAAAAAATAACTGTGTTACAACAATATAATATTGCAGAAAAATAAATATTCACGAATAAAAGATTGACACAATGATATGGTTATGGTAGGTTTTAGGATTGACTCACAAAAACAATGTTGCGCTCAAACAGTATTAACTTTAGTGGGCTTGGTTCTTGTAGGTTTTACGATAAATTTGGGTGTGCAATATCAAAGTGAAACTAGATGGCATCTGAAAAAACGATGTCAACTCTGTTATCATTGGCCGGACACGATCCTAATTTATATCAACAGAATAATACTATATAGTATTAATGGTGTTGAGCATCTCTCACTAATAAAAAATGGATTTCATTTTAATATTACTAGCACCTCTGATGCGCCTAAGTATTTTTCTATCAACTGGGTCGGCCATATGCCATGCCAAGTGGGCGGCCTAGCCCACTTGATGTCGATTTATGTACATTCTTAAGCAATCTTAAATTCATGTATCAAAACCCTTTAAAATTAAACGGACACAATAAAGAAAGAAGTTGATAGAGAAACAAAACTTAAAAAAGGGAGCTCGGGGTAGCCTATATTCCTTAAAAATTATGTTCACTAAGCAATGCAAGAGTACTTCAAACTCCTAATTGTGCAATGATAAATGTATACATAAATATAATTAATTCTTGAGTGAAAAAGTATTTCTATCCAAGCCAAAAAAAAAAAAAAAAAAGAAGAAATAAAGAAGAAAATTCCTTTAAGGCACGCTTGTATGGAGTAACCATCAGCCATGGGAACAAACCATCCGGTTTAATGAGCAATCTTATCATATCGAACTAATTAATTCCAACGTATAATTTTTGTTCATTGTAAGTTCATTTGATGGGAAAAAACATATCCGAGATCATATGTAGTACTTAAAATTATAGTGCTGCTAGTATAACAAAATTTCCCACCTCTTTATCATAATAATAATAATAATATTATTATTATTAATAAAGCTAAATAATAATTATAATAAATTCTCCCACCAAGTAATCTTTGATTTATTACTTAACTCTAAAAATGAAATCTCGCTACATTATTCACACCCTATTTGATGACCATTAATGGGTTGGTGTAACGGACTTTTATTATTATTATTTATTTCTTCTTTTAGAATACTCCACAACCCCCCCAACTAATGTTTTGTGTGGTGTTGAAGAAAAAAAAAAAAAAAAGTCTATTTCATTTATTCAACTCGAACTCCATCAACTGTAATGTTGGCGCAAGATTTTGTTCGAGGCAGGGGTGTCACCCAAATGCTCTCATCTCCATCTGCCTCTAAATCCTCTAGCAATTCCGAGATCGCCAACTTCATATTAGACTTTCTTCTTGCTCCACCCTGATGATGAGGCTCAGATAAGCGTGTAAAAGTCCCTGCAAACAATCCAACTCCCGGCCTAACTTTTATTGTCTCGTAGTCCCCCAAATTCACATACACATCAAACTTAACACCCACGTTAGATTTAACCTCAATTCCATAAACAACCAAAACCTCTTCCTCTTCTTCTTTCTCTTGCTTTGTTCTACATGGTTTTGGCCTATAAACCCTCACCGTCAACGGTGCATCTAGGACTCGGCCATTCTATTTATTGTTCGGCAACTTCTGTTGATAAATCTGACGGTCGAATAAGAAATGAGTAAAAATGAAGATAAAATGGACACCTTCTCAGAGAGGTTACGCACAAACAATAAACAGTTCATTATATTTCAGAAATTACAAACACTGACACACTTAAGTAGGTGCACCACAAATTATCTCGATTTTCCCTTCTCTAGTTCTCCCTTCCTAAATTCCTTGGTTGGTCATCCTTATTCTTCTCCTGATGTTCCGATTTAGTCACCAGGGCAGACCCTTCCATACCACTCGGTTTTTCTAGCATCACATTCCTTCGGCTCTCCTCTCCACGAATAATTGAGATGGCCTCTTCCAATGAAGGAACATCCTCTTTACTGAGTATTTGTAACCGAACTTGATCAAATTCAGAATTTAAACCAGCCAAATAATCATACACTCTGTCACCTTCAATGTATTTCTTGAGAATTGCTGCATCATCTGGGCACTTCATCTCGAACACTCGGTAGTGATCCAATTCCTGCCACATGATCTGCAGAAAATTGGCATACTCTGTGATAGTCATGTCTCCTTGCTTCATTCCATTTGTCTTGATCTTTATCTCATAAACCTGGGCTGCATTACGTGCCTTCGAGTAGGTACGTTGAATGTAATCCCATATCCCCTTCACACTAGGCAGAAACATACAAGTATCACTAATGGCTTGTTCCATTGAATCCCATAGCCATGACATAATCATTGAATCCTCCTCATCCCATGCCACAAATCCAGGGTCTGTTTTTGCTGGTCCAGTCCCAAGCAGATGGCTGATTTTTCCCTTTCCTTTAAGGTATGTGCGAACGACTTGGGACCACTTGAGATAGTTTCTCCCGTTGAGTCGATAAGAGGCTCTAATATTCTGCAAGTCTCTGGTTTTCTGGGCAGGAGAAGCCTCCTCAGTAGTCACGGAAGTGCTGGTAGCCTTGGAATCAGACATAATTGAATGAAGGGGAAGAAAAAGTGGATTTCAAGGAGAGGATAATGCAGTAATGGCCGGCAGCAATGAAGGCTGCTTGGCAGCGACGGCAGCGATGAAGGCTACTTGGCGGCGTAAACCCCAGAGAATCGCCCTAGGTCTCTGATACCATGTTGCAAACTAGGGATTGGAAAATTATCTTTGTATTTCCATATATTGAATAATTACATAGCTAAGTATTTATAGAATTTACATAGAGAGAAAATAGGAAAGAATATCTACCACAATTCCTGAAAATCAGAGATTGTGAAAACTAATTTTCCTAATTGATTTCCTGCCTAAAATACCTCTCGACAGTCATGAATCAATTTTTTAAATATATTTTTTTTTTTTTTTTTTTTTTCCTTTGTTTTTTCCTTTGTTTTTTTTTTTCTCTTCAAACCATGTTATTTTCTTTTCTATTTATCGTAAACAGTTTAGTTGTTTTTTCATCGAAGCATGTTTTGCAGAATTTAGTTGATCTTGGAGTAAGAGATTGTGTTTGGGTTTAATTATGCAATTAGTTGTACAATCATCCAATACATGCAGTGTCAATTTTTATTTTGATTGGTTTTCAACTTTCTACCCTTGAGAAATGCTAGCGTCACTCTTTTTGTTGCTCTCTGTCACTTTCTGCATTCTTTGTTTGACACGTGGACTCTTACTATCTCATTTTCTGTTTAAATAATGATATATCATGTTAGTGGAGTCAAACAGTGAATGCATATAGTGACGAAGATAGCGACAGAAAAAGTGATGTTAGCATTTCTTTTCTAGTCTTAAATATCTTCAACTTACAGACTTTACATGAAAATGAGATGTTCTTTATTTCTTCTCTTTTTGGTGTTTCTCAGTTTTCAAAGTTTTCCTTTTTATGTGCTTAAAGTTTACAGATTATTAGACATTGAGTCCGATTCCTTCACGACAGCTTGCCCACACTTGTTAAAATTATCTTTTATGTACAAAAGGACCAAAGCATTACCCTTTTGCGAAGAGTACTCAAAATAAGGTACAGTGCTACTGTATTCAAGTAAAATTTTATGAGGTTCTTTACTTCTACTCATGCAATAACTTTCATATTAGTAGAGTTGGTCTCCCACTATTTTGAAATTTTGGCCTTGAATTTTAGTAGCAGAGATTAAAATACTTCATATTAAAGATTATTGTTTGTTCATTACTTTTACCTTTTCTCACTCCGTGCAATTGTGGCCTGCCGGCAGAGAGCTATTCACTGGAGGACCACTAAGAAGATATTTGCTCATCTGTGGAATTATTGTTTTACCAAATCAATATTGTTTACCGTATATCCTTTACAGGTTAATATTTTTTCTTTGAAAAGAGTTAGCTAAATGTTTTGCAAGAAAATTCAGTATAAATGAAGTCACGTGTTTCTCTTATATTCTGGTATGAGCTTATGATAAAGTTAAGACGTTTCTAGTCTTCTTCGACCGCATAATTTTGTTTTAGACATGTTATATGAACATTGTTCTTTCTCTAAAAATGCAGTTGTCTTGGCCCTTTTGCATAGAGAGCTCAAAATTAGGTAAAGTGGTGCTTTTTTAGTGTACATTGTGGATAAAGAACAAAAAACATTCTATTAGAATTTAGGAAATCATCCTGGAGAAAAATATCAACTTTTGAAAATGGTATATTATCCAAGGAAATTTTTTGACTTTCCATCGTTTATTTACAAAGAGAACTAAAAGAGGGCTTGAAATGCAACTTATACCCGATGAGATAGAGTTGAGAAAGCTTACAATTGAGTGTGAACAATGATCAATGGATCAACGAGGCTTGCAAAAAAAAAAAAAAAAAAAAAAAAAAACAGGAGTCTAGAAAATGACTAAGCTTTTGCTTGTTTCATAGGTTTGAACCGAAAAATATGTGTTCAAAATGTTTTTTTTTTTTTTGGGCTACATTGTTCTCTCACAAAAATTTAAACAAATTTTAATTTCTGTTCAAATGGGCCATAAGAATGCATAGTAAAAGGGGCTTACAGTGAGAA